AAAAAAAAAAAAAAAACCACACACACGCACCACAGAACTAACCCAATAAAGGAAATCCTACCTCTGCTGCAATAAAGAAGCTAATAAACCATCAGAAAACTACCACTACCACAAATATTGTTCTAGGACGGGGGGTCAGCAAACTATGGCCCATGGGCCAAATTTTTATAAATAAAGTTTTATTAGAAAACAGCCATGCTCATTCATTTACATATTGTATATGCCTGTTCTCATGCTACAATGGCAGAGTTGAGTAGCTGCAACAGAGACTGCAAGGCCCACAAAGCCAAAAATATTTACTATCTGGCCTTTTACAGAAAAAGTTTGTTGAGTCTTGCTCAAGTACCATATAGCCTCAACCCAGGCCATATCAACAAAATCAAAGCCCCATGATCTGACTCTCAACATCCATAAAGTTAGAGCTTCATACAGGGGCCACTGTAACTGCTGCTGCAGAGAAACGAAACTCTCTAACTGCATGTGCCATGAGAAGCGTGGTGTCCACCTCATTTCCACTTTGCAAATTTCTCGGGGAGGTATCTTCAAGGCAAAACTTGGGACACATATGGAAAGCAAGCTGTAAGAGAAAATGAGAAATGAATTTAGCTTTCCAGTCCCCAGCATGCAGTAAGTCAGGCTACAGAGGGTTTGGAATGGAACTGAATGGGCTATCTGCCAAACCATCTACCTTGGTGGTCATTCCAAATAAATCCACAATCCAGCCAACAGGATGGAGACCAGGAAAAGGTTTAAAGAGGAGAACAGAAGGCACTTTATGTTTATTATTTAATTTTTATTGAGATATAAAAATGCAACAGGATGCACCATTTTAAATCTTAACAGCATTGTATGAGGGTTCCAATTTCTCCACATCATTGCCAAAACTTGTTATTTTCCATTTTATTACCATCCTAGTGTGTATGAAGTGGTATCTCATTGTGGCTTTGACTTGTATTTCCCTAATAACTACTGGTGTTGAGCATTTTTTCACATGCTTATTGGCTATTTGTATATCTTCTTAGAGAAAAATCTATTCAAAGACTTTGCCTATTTAAAAAATCGGGTTATTTGGGGCCAGCTCTGTGGCCTAGTGGTTAAGTTCGGTGCACTCACCTTCAGCAGCCTGGGTTCAGTTCCTGGACACGGACCTACACCACTCGTTGGCAGCCATGCTGTGGTGGCAACCCACATACAAAATAGAGGAAGACTGGCACAGATGTTAGCTCAGGGCGAATCTTCCTCAAACAAAAAGAGGACTGGCAACAGATGTTAGCTCAGGGCGAATCATCCTCAGGAAAAAAAAATTGGGTTATTTGATTTTTATTGTTGAGTTGTAAGAGCTCTTTACATATTCTGGATACTAGTCTATTATCAGATATATGATTTGTAAATATTTTGTCCAATTCTGTGAGTTTTCTTTTCCCTTTCTTGATAATGTCTTTTGAAGCACAAAAGTTTTTAGTTTGATGAAGTCTAATTTATCTATTTTTTTCTTTCATCACTTGTGTTTTTGCTATCATAGCTAAGAAACTATTGCTTAATTCAAGGTTATAAAGATTTATGTGTATACTTTCTTCTAAGAGTGTTATAGTTTTAGCTTTTGCATTTAGGTCTTTGTCCATTTTTAAGTTAAATTTTGTATATGATGTGAGTTGTTGGACCAACTTAATTCTTTTACATATGGATATCTAGCTGTCCCAGCACTATTTATTGGAAAGCCTATTCATACCTTATTGAATTATCTTAGCATCCTTGTAGAAAATCAAAGGACCATAAATGTAAGGGCTTATTTTGGGGATCTCAGTTCTATTCCATTGATCTATATGTCTATTCTTATGCCAGTACCATACTGTCTTGATTACTGTTGCTTTGTAGTAATTTTGAAATTGGGAAGTGTTAGTCTTCCAACTTGGTTTTTCTTTTTCAACATTGTTTTAGCTGTTCTGGGTATTTTGTGTTTTCATACGAATTTTATAAAAAGCTTGTCAATTTATGCAAGAAAAGCAGCTGGGGTTTTTATAGGGGTTGCATTGAATCTGTAGATCAATTTGGGGAGTATTGTCATCTTAGTATTAAGTCTTTCAATCCATGAACATGAAATATCTTTCCATTTATTTTGGTGTTTTTTAAAATTTCTTTCAATGATACTGTGTAGTTTTCAGAGCACAAGTCTCATACATCTTTTGTTCAATTTATTCCTAAGCATTTTATGCTTTTTGTTTCTTTTGTAATTGTTTTTTAATTTCATTTTCAGATTCCTCATTGTTAGTGTATAGAAATACAACTGATTTTTTAATATTGATCTTGTGTCCTGCAACCTTGCTGAAATTGTTGATTAGCTCTAATTGTGTGTGTGTGTGTGTGTGTGTGTGTGAGAGAGAGAGAGAGAGAGAGAGAGTGTGTATTCCTTAGGATTTTCTATATACAAGATCATGTCATTTGCAAATAGAGATAGTTTTACTTCTTCCTTTCCAATCTGGATACCTTTTATTTCTTTTACTTGCCTAACTGCCCTGGCTAGAATGTCCAGTTAAATGTTGAATAGAAGTAGCAAGAAGGGGACATCCTTGTCTTGTTCCTGTTCTTAGGGAGAAAGCGTTCAGTCCTAACTATGATGTTAGCTGTGGGTTTTTCATAGGTGCCCTTTATGAAGTTAAGGAAGTTCCCCTCCATTCCTAGTTTGGTGAGTGTTTTTATCATGAAAAGGCATTGAATTTTGTCAAATGCTTTTTCTTTGTCTATTGAGGTGACTGACCATGGGGTTTTTTTCCTTTATTACTATGATGTGTTATGTTGATTGATTTTCATACATTGAAACAATCTTGCATACATGGGATAAATATCATTTGGTCATAGTGTATAATCCCTTTTATATGTGGATTTGGTTTGCCAGTGTTTTGGTGATGATTTACACATCAATAATTGTAATGGATATTGGTCTGTAGTTTTCTTTTCTTGTAATGTCTTTGTCTGGTTTCGATATCAGAGTAATACTGGCCACAGGGAATGAGTTGATGAGTATTCCCCCCTTCTCTTTTTTGGAAGAGATTATGAGGGCTTGATGTTAATTCTTCCTTAAACATTTGGTAGAATTCACCAGTGAAGTCACGTGGTCCTGGAATTTACTTTGTGGGACGTTTTTTGATTACTGATTCAATGTCTTTACCTGTATTCAGATTCTCTATTTCTGCTTGAGTCAGTTTCAGTACTTATGTCTTTCTGAGAATTTGTCCATGTCATTTACGTTATCCAATTTGTTCGCATACAATTGTTCATATCATTCCCTTCTAATCATTGCTATTTCTATAAGGTTGGTAGTAATGTCCTCACATTCATTACTCACTTTAGTAATTTGAGTCTTCTCTTTTTTCTTGCTCAATCTAGTTAAAGGTTGGTCACTTTTGTTGATCTTTTCAAAGACTCAGCTTTTGGTTTCACTGATATTTCTCTATTGTTTTTCTATTTCATTAATTTCCACTCTAATCTTTGTAATTTCCTTCCTTCTGCTTGCTTTGGATTTAGTTAGCTCTTCTTTTTCTAGTTTCTTAAGGTAGAAAGTTAGGTTATTGATTTGAGATCTTTATTCTTTTTAATGTAACATAGGCATTTATACCTACAAATTTCTCTGTAAGCACTGCTTTAGCTGCATCCCGTACGTTTTGTTTTTCTCCCTTCAATTGTCAGCGTTTGCTTCATGTATTTTGGGACTCTGTTGTTAGGTGCACATATGCTTATAATAGTTCCATCTTCCCTATGAATTGACCCTTTTATCATTACAAAATGTCATTCTTTATATCTAGTAACAATTTTTGTCTTAAAATCTATTTTGTCTGATATTAGTATAGCCACTCTAGCTCTTTTTGGTTACATTTGTGGGATATCTTTTTCTATCCTTTGACTTTCAACCTATTTGTGTCTTTGTATCTAAAGTGTGTCTCTTCTAGACAGTATATTGTGGATCATTTTTTTTAATATCCATTCTGCCAATCTCTGCCTTTTGATTGTTTAATCCATTTATATTTAATAATATAGGATCTACATCTACCATTTTGCTATTTGTTTTCTACCTGTATTATGTCTTCTTTGTTCCTATATTCCTCCACTACTGTCTTCTTTTGTGTTAAATAGATACATTTACTGTGCCATTTTAATTCTCTTTTTATTTCTTTTACTACATTTTGAGTTATTTTCTTAGTGATTGCCCTGGGGATTATAATTAACATCTTAACTTACAACAATCTAGTTTGGATTAAAACCAACTTAAGTATACAAAAACTTTGCTCCTATATAGCTCCTTGGATTGCTGTATGCTTTTGGCTAATTTCCAGAGCTCTGAAAAAGGTGGGTTTTTTGCCAGTGTTCTTGTTGATTTTATGGAGGAGAGGATTTTTGGAGGTCCTTGCTCCAACATCTCCAATGACATTACTCCCAGGCAGTTAACTTAAGAGTGCATACAGTCTTGGGAAGGAGTGAGATGGAGTAGCTAAAGGTGTGGAAGTAAAGATGGCTATTGCTGTTTCTCAGTCAGTATATATGAATGAATGTTCTGGTATGAAACAACTACATTAGATCAAGCACACTCAAGACAGCCTCCATCCCTCAGGGAAGCAGCCAGCAAATCATTCCCCACACAGCAGAAACTCAAAAGAGAAATAATCAATTCTTCCCTCTCTGAGGGGAATAGTTAGCAACATAGAAAGCTCTAATGGAAACTCCTGTTGTCATTCCAAGGATTTTCCTCCAGAAAACTAGGTATTTCCTTCAGAGTAGTTTGAGATCATACTTGTCTGATTGGATGACATCATTTGTGGGGGAAAAAATGTTTCTGCCTCAGTATCTTTCTGGCCAAAATTTGCTCAACTGCCTATAGGTTCTTGGCCCTGGAAAATGGTAGACTGTGAGGAAGCTATATGGGAGAATGAATGTGAAGGTAATTGGTAAACTTTATAGGTGTTTTTTAAAGTGTTGGTAATTTTTCTGTTCACTACTGTACCTTGCTCAGTTAAATTTTTAGTCTTTAATAGGTAAACTCTAACTTACTGATGATGTTAATCACAGATGATGATCATTAGAATAATATTAAAGAATGAAGTAAGTATAGAAGAATTGGTACACTATTGTATAGAATATCTTTTCTGGATATAGGAAAGAGTGTGTTCTGTGAGTTGGTAAATAAAAGTACATGTATGAAAATTTCAGCCTAGCAGTTCACTGATGCCTCTGTTCTCAATCTTAAGACGTTTTATTTATGTAATCCCCTTTGGGAGGGGCTTATGTACAACAAAGAGGTGTTGGTTTT